GGTTCCTTTAGTCCTGCTGGCTGCTAGCCAGAGGCATCTCTGTTACTTTCATGCTACCTCCCTCCCACCCCCCAATCTATAAGCCACCAATAGCTGGTCAAGTCCTTCTCATGCTCCAAGGTTCTCTGATCTCTCCTTCTACTTCTCTTCTGCCTCTGGCCTGAGAAAGCTCTCTGCTTTTAAAGACTCATATGAGTGGACTGGCCCCACCTGGGTAACCCAGGTTAACATCCTAATTTCTGGTATTGATTAGTGACTTTAATCACACTTATAATATCCCTTTTGCCATGTAAGGTAATTTCTGACAGATTCTAGGGATTAGGGTGTGGACATCTTTGTTGGGCCATTCTCCCTAAGCTCTCTTTACCAAAAGGGATCATAGGTTCCATTTTAAAGAACTGAAAATAGGCTTAGGGAGGTGAAGTAACTTTCCATGTATATTTAAATTAAGGCCTGATTCCACAGCTTATGTTCTTCCCCTCTCTCTGTCTTTCACACACACACACTTACCAAGCCAGACACAACCTGGTGTCCCTGACTGCATTTTGTGGATGGTGGGTGGTGGTGATTCCTCTTTGAGACTAGTTCCTCTCTCTTCTCAGCACCATCTTTTGTGCCTGCTGTGCTTTGGAAATTCCCTATTCTAAATTCAGGAATCCCAAATTCTTGCTCCATATATATGTCAACACCTCCTTATTAGAAGAATGCTCCCCCTACACACACACACACACACACACACACACACACACACACACATACTTTTTACCAGGCAATAGATTCCTTTGATCTTTTTAAAGACCAAAAGCAAAAAGATGCAGCAAAAAGTAAGCAGATACATTACACGTACTCTGTGTTATGTAAATTGAAGTTTAAGCATCCAATTTTAATGCAAATCAACTTCTAAAAAAAAAGTCTAAAAGCCACATTTCCTTAAAGTCTGCTCACATGCTAAACTGTAGATGTAATTATCAAAACTATTCAGCTCATCTTAGAAACACTTAGTGGGAATGATGGCACCACTGGGGTCGCATGTGTGACTACATGGTTGGGGGTGGGCTAAGACAAGACATGACTGTCACATGGCTGCTACAACCAATCAGACCAAGAGCTGCTTCCAAAAGATGCCCAGTGTGAGGGGGCTGGGAAGGGGTAGCTGAGATTGAGCCCAGCCATGAGCCCTGGTCAATAAGCACATATATTTTTCTGCTGTGAAAGAAAGTCAACACAACGCGTGCAAACTTACTGAGAACACACAGACAGGAAAGGTATCTCTACTTGCTGTTGTTATTCACTGTCTCATATTTAAAGGGAACCCTTGGACATGGGCTCATTTCATACAATGAGACTTAATTTTTTTAAAGTTTATTTATTTATTTAGAGGGAGGGAGGAAGGAAAGAGAGACAGAGAACCCCCACTGAAGTCTTCATGCTATGATCTACTCACAGTCTCAGCCAGCCTGGATCACAGGCATAGGAAGACCCTGGGTTCCTGTCCCAGAGGCTCTACTTGCATTACCACTGTACCACTGCCTGGCACCAACATATACTTTAAATGGAGTCTCATATATTGTATATATGTTGCTCCTCCCACCCTGAACTCTCTTCCCATCTATGTTCAGTCTCTCCCTTTTCAAACGTACTTGGGTGAGTACTTTCTATGGTTCTCAAGAACAAAAAGTTAGAGAACACAACTCTGGGAGCAGTTCCTCTTAAGAAGCTCTTAAAAAGCTCTTAAGAAGCCCCGGGTTTAGCAGAAGGCAAGGTGGCAGACTCAGATGACTAAATGGACAAAACCGAGGGTTTCACAAAGTTATTAGAAAATGCATATTATAAAAAATCATCTATGCATGCATTTCAAAATGCTTTTGCACCAAAATAAACTTGGATTCCATTTTCCATAAACTTTTGGAGGTACCTTATATGTAAGAGGGTTCAATGTAATGATAGATAGGGGAACTGGGTGCTTGCTCAAGGGCACTGAACCATGGAGAGGATGGATGAGAAAGAGGTAAGATAGGAGCATTCATCCTAGGGGAACTGCTCCCAGAGTTGTGTTATACTGTAGAATCAGCTGCTGCAGCAGAATCAGCTACTGCAGCAGAATCAGCTTTGGTGCACAGGGAGGCTCAGTCATGACAGAGGGTTGGCACATTCTAGGAGGTATGGGATATTCTGGGACTTAGTCCCTCTGTACTGAAGACTGGAGGGAGAGACAGGCTGATGAGGCTAAAGAGGTAGGAAGGTCGTGTGAGGAGCCCAGCTGAGGCACGTGGGCTTCTGCTTGCTTGCTCTACTCATAAAATCTTTGCCAAACTCGGTCCCCAGTGTCCATAGAGCAAAAGGGTCCAGATACTTCGAGATTTATCCCTAGGACACAAGGGAGCCACTTTGGATGCCTGGTCTCTGGTCTGAGTGGGGGAGTAGAATCAGCGGGATGTATTTCAGAAAGAGTACTGAGGCAGGAGTTATGGGAAGATGGATTTGATAGGAGTAAACAGAGGAGGACCATTTAGGAGAGTGTGGTGTGATGGAGAGAAGGAATGAATGTGAGTGACACTGAAAGGAGATCTTCAGGACTTGGTAACATGTGGGTGGGGAGATCTTTCCTACCAATACCCTGGAGCCAAGAGTCCTTCACTAGACAGGCTGCTGCCTTCACCCTCTCACACCGACTCTCTTCTGCAACTGAAATGTCACTCGTGCCCCATCCCAATCCCTGGTCATCATTTGGACCCTCTTCCAAATTCCCACCTTTATGTACGCAAGTAGCTCACTATTCCCACTGCAGATCTGGTCCTAGGCACATGATATACCCTCCATTGAAAAAAGCCCTGCATTTTCTGACATATCAAATGCCATGAAATAAATAAATAAATACATCCAGAAATGGCTTTGAAAGTGCTGTCAGCTGACTATAACATAATGGAACGCTGGGGTGGGGGAACACAGAGTGTCTCCTATGAGAACTGTCAGTGGTGCTTTTTTTGCAGTTTAAAACATTTTGTGAGTTGTAAATGTCTCTCCCATACCTCCCCAGTACCCCTTCCCCATGTCTCTATTTGAAACGACCCTTGTTGATGCCAAACAACTTGGAAGCCAGCTAGGTAAGATTGCTATTTGATAGGAGCAGATGTGTGTTAACGTTCCTATAAAGGAAAGGTATAGGTAAGCTGGGCCAAAATGTGCCATTATTGAAAGCAAAACACTACCTGAAACCAAATGGGACTTTCGCTTGGAAGAAAGATCTTACTTTGTGTGGAACGAGGGCACAGAACAAGCCCCAATGGACCAAAGCTATGGAGAGCTGAGCTATGACTTAGAAGAATTTTCTAACAGTTCAACAAAAAAATTTCTCAACAACAGAATGTGCTCAACTGTGAAATAGTGAATGTATCATTATAAGTAGCATTTGAGCAGAGTGCATGACTGCTGTCTATCAAAGTGCTATAGAGAGGACTCATTTATTGGAACGCATTATTTAGTAAGAGGTAATGTGCTCAATCTTCAGGATTTAGAATCTAGCCCATCCCAGTAAGGGAGAAATTCCATTGACATCAAGGGTCTACCTGGTTCCAAGTTCTCAGGGACTGATGTTGGCAGACCCAGCTTGAATCCCATACCAACAATCATGTTGCAGATATCTTTGTGGACTGGGTCCCAGGAAGGGATGTGGTGTGGTTAGAGGGTTTTCTGTTTTCTTTGTTGAGCTTCCAGTATGACCCCTATAAGGCAGGAGGCTGACTTTTCTGATGAATTTCTCTACACTGCCCAGTTTGGGAGAACAGATGCTGTGGGTCAGGCCAGAAGTCATAAATTTCCAGGAAATAACTCTTAGTGACTGAGAAGAAAGCCATAAAACACTTGGGAGGCAGGGACAGGCAAAAACAATGGCAGCGGACAATGCGCGAATTACTGCTAAATGCCAGGATGAGCCCCATGGATCATTCTCTTGGCTTATACTGCTGCCTAGAGAACCTTTTGCCAAACATGCTCTGCTGTACCCAGAGAAGAGAAGGGCCCAGGTATCTCGAGATTCTCTCTCTTATTCTACTATGATTTGTTTATTCCACAAATTGTTACTGAGGGCACCCTTGCATATAGGAGGCAATCTACTGAAGCTTGTAAATAGCCATGAACAAAACAGACTAAAATCCCTGACCTGTGCAGCTTACATCCTAGTGATCTCCTAGGTCTCACCTGCTTGGAAAGAAATTAACACATTTTATGCCTGTATAGTGCCCAGTTTTTACACACCTTGGTGGACATTCACAATATCCCCAAGAAGTAGGGGTTTTATTCTGAAGTTATACTTCCAATATGATCATGAGGGAAGTGCTCACTAGCTAGATGGGATGGGTCTTCTGACTTCTGTTTCTCCTAGAGCTGTGAGCCTTAGAGCCACTGCTATGGCTAGATCTGGCCCCTTCTCTGCACAATTCTGGGGCCTATAATCGCCCATCTCCCTCACTCTTCCTTTCCCATAAAAGTTAAGGACAAAGATACTCCCAGGGTTTCTGTAGCAATAAACCTAGACCTTCTTCATTAACCTGTGTTGAGTGCTACACAATAGCAGCCAAGGAACCATTAGTGGAGATTAATGACATCACTGTCCTTCCTGTTCCTCATTCTCTTCCTCTCTAGTCTTCCAACTCCAAGCTCCCAAGTTTAGAGCTCCTTGTTCCTCCTTGGCCCTTCTGGATTTGGTATTTCAGCTTTCCCCTAATAGACTGCATGGCCATGTTTCTTTGGTCCTTGGCATCCATGTGGGCCCACGGAGTAATTCTGTTCTTGCCACCACCCTCCCAACAACTACGTTTCTTGCCCCTCCACCAGGCTTCTCCAGAGTAGTGACTTATTCTCAATCTCACAGGCCCTCATCCCAGGTATCTGTGCCTCTCTGTCAACTCAGTACTAGATCCCAGGACACAGAGAGCCTCACCCCAACCTCCAGGTTAAAGATCTAGAATATATAGGTCAGGATGTATAGGACAAGGACTCACCAAAGTTCTCCCCACCCCAGATGTCCATGTCCTCGTCATATCTCCCCAGGTAATCGAACCAGGCTTTGTCGATCACGAAGAGCCCTCCAGCTATGATTGGTGTCCTGTACATTTGGGAGGAAGAGAGGGAAGTCATTAAAAGGAGGGAACCCACTCTCAACCTCTTCTGCCCTAGGAGTCCTTGGTCAGTTTCTTCCCATTTCTGTACCTCTTCAGAAAGGCCAGTACATTGGCCAGTTACCTAAAACCAGTACATGCTCCTGGATTTTTGTCTTTGATAATAAATCTCCTAAAATTATTGACAGGCAAATGTATTCATTAGCATACTTCCAGTGTGGGGCCAGGACAGGCTCTGAACCTCAGTTAATCTAATGACCTGGGGAACCTCCACCATCCTGTCCCCAAGGCCGTGTCCTGGGCAGAGAAGGACAGAGGCCACACCTGTTAGCAGCATATTGACTTTTAAAAATTGGATTCTGTCTCCCTTCTTTTTGCTCTTTATCCCTGGCTGAAGAGTGTTCCCCACCCCAACAAAATATGTTGGAGTTCTGACCGCCCCCCCCTTTTCCTCCTATGCCTCAGAATATCAGAATATGACTTTATTTGGAAAAAAGACTTTTTTTTTTAATCTTTAATTGCTGAAGGGTATGTGTGCTTATGAGACAGAGAGGAAGCATCCCCTAATGAGGTGTGGTCATAACATATTCTTTTTTCTTCCGTCTCATCAGGATTTGGGGCATGCATACACATGTGCTCTGCATGTTTTTCAAGCTGCAACAGTTGGGATTCAAACTTGTGCTTAGCCACTGAACTATGAGGCTGGCCCTGAAAAGAGGATCTTTATACAGGTAATCAAGTTAAAATGAGGTCAGGAGGGTGGGCCCTTGTCCAATATGACTGATATCCTTATAAAAAATGAAATTTGGACACAAAAACAGACGCGTATAGAAAACAGACAATGTGGAGACTCAAGGAGATCGCAATCTATAGGCCAAAGACAGAGGTCTGAAACAGCCCTCAGAAAGACTCAGCCTCGCGGACACCTTGACCTTAGACTTCTGGACTCTAGAACCATGAGATAGTCCATTTCTGTTGTTTAGACCGCTCAGCCTGTGACTCTTTAGTACAGCAGCTCTAGCAGACTAATACCCCTCATTTTCAATTCCTCTTCTTGGGGCTCTATCCCAGCTCATTGGCTCTTGATGACTGGGAGTTGTTTGAGAAGTCTCTTAAAAATGAAAGGAGTTGAAAAAGAAGATAGGCAATGGTAGCAGAGTCTGAGCAAATAATCCAGTAAGCACAAGGATGGATGTTGGTAAGAATCCACAGCTGGGGTAGGTGGGTTAGCCCTCAAGGATGTGGTTCTCACTCAGTGGGTCTGAAAGCTGAAGTGAGTTTTGTCCCATAGCAGTTAGCTGATGGAAAACTAGACAGTTTCCATGAGACCCTGCTATTCCCTGAGAACTGGCTTAATTCTGGGCATACCTGTTCTCTGATGAGCAGACATCTCTCAAGAAGAAAACCTGCCAGAGAACTCACCACTGAGACAGAGACAGAAATACCCAGAGATAGCTGTAGCACGATCTTTGCCCTTGACTTGGGCCATCCCTCTGAGGTGTCCAGAAAGGTCAGAGTCTGCCCATGACCCCGCCTAAATCACACACATTAGGAGCTGGTGTGCACGGCTTGATGCTCAGCAGAAAAAGGGCCTTTTCCTATACCATGAGAAATAAAGAACAGTGGGATTTAGACCACCAAAGGCCCTCTGCCCAGACTTTACCCTCCTGCTCCCCAGTGTAGCCAGGAGTTAGGATAAGCCAATCAGTGGCCATTTATATTAGAGCTCTAAATGGCCCCATTCAACCACCAGAGACCCTCTGCCCGATTTCACCCTCCTGCTCTCCAGTCTAGCCAGGAGTCAGGAAAAAAATGTACAATTCATCAGATGACCAGAAACCACTGCAGACACACAAGAAATATGAGAAACAAAGAAAATATCTCTCCTCTGATGGAAAAGAATAACTCCTCTTCCTCCATGAAGAATACAAGGGAATTCATGGAAATGTCAGATAAAGAATTTAAAATATTCATAGTGACAAAGCTAACAGAGATGCAAGAGAATAGAGACAACTGACTCCAGAGGCTGTACATGAAAAGAGACTCTGAGTTCCAGAAGGTGAGGAAGTTCTCACATGATTTGAAAGATGAGATACACATCATAAAAAAGAATCAAATGGAACTGTTAGAGATGAAGGCTGTAATACAGGAAATCAAAACTTCCCTTGAAAATATCAAAAGCAGATTAGATCATGCAGAAGGGCGAATCTCAGATGTAAAGACAGAACCTCTGACCTAGAAAAATTCACCAAAAAGACTGAGTAAATAACCTTAAAAAGTGAGAATACCATACAAGTAATATTAGATACCATTAAAGGCACAAATATCCAGGTCATTGGTATCCCAGAAGGTGACGACACTAATAAGGGATAGATAATCTATTCCATGAAATCCTGGAAGAAAACTTTCCAAGCCTAGAAAGGTAATGAAATATCTAAACCCAAGAAATATAAAGGACCCACATAGAATCGGCCCAGGAAGATCTTCCTCAAGGGACATCACAGCCAAATTGACCAAAACCACAGACAGAAACAAGATACTAAAACTGGCAAGAGAGAAACATCAAGTTACTTTCAAAGGTTATCCCATAAGGCTAACATCAGACCTCTCATCAGAAACAATGCAAACAAGAAAAGAGTGGAAAAATATCTTCAAAGTGTTAAGTGAAAAACAATTTCAAACAAGAATACTATACCCTGCAAGATCATCTTTCATGTGGGAAAAAAAGACAAAAACATTCTCAGATAAAGGAGACCTGAAAGAATTTACCAACACTAGATCAGCTCTCTAAGAAGTACTGAAGGGAGTGCTATACCAGGAAAACTATAATCGGACACACAGAAATAAGAATACAATAAACAAACAAGAGAATGGCCCTCCTAATGGCAGGGACAAGTCTTGGAGTTGAATATTAACTTCCAGAGTTTAAATGGAAAGATCAGACCACAGTAACACTGCAAATTCAATAGAAGAGAGATTAGTTACATGAGTCTGAACTAGTAAAATAGAATTTTTTTTTACTTTAGATTAAAACATTACTGATTTTCTTAGTTGCTTTAATTTCCATATTTAAGGATTTTTGTCTTCTCTTGAACTGTTGATAGATTCATCTACATACTATTTGAACTGAATCATAACCTTCTTCCTGGCTTTAAGTTTTAAACAAATTTCTCTTAACGTTTTTTGATTTTTATCTATTAAAACTAAAACTCTTTTAAATGAAAAAAGTATAAAAAATACCTATTAATACTTATTTAATGACTGCAGTAAGCTATACAGCCCCAGTAAGGTGCTACTTTATAGCATGTTCTCTTTACTCACTGAAGTTTACACCTAAAGTCAGATATATGTTCATAAATATGTATATATCAGCTCTGTTTGCTATCTAAAGTCTTTAAATTAATTAAGATCTGTAGTGAATCAATAAAATGTGAAAAAAGGTATGGAAAACAATTGTACATACCAGAGACAGTGTGGGAGAAGGGGGGCAGTTGGCAGAGGGTGAGAGGTAGGGAATCAAGTGGGGGGGAAGCAAAATGTATAAGAAACAAGAAATAGAAAATTATTTGTTGATGATAATGTGTACGGTTCAATCCTTGATTGAGTCAATATACAATATATACTGGATGGAAAAATCTCATTTTATATACTGTATTGATGTACAGTGAATGAGTGTAAATAAATAGGTAAGTTAAAGATTGAAGCCTTTTGGCTTCAATCTCCCTCTTGGCATCACTCCAGCTAGTGAAGGCTAGAGAATGAAGGACAGGCAGAGTTCTCAGAGCCCCACTCACCTGTCTGGAGTGTTACATTTAGCTCTTTACAGCCTTTTTGGCCTTCAATTTGACTTAAGTCAATTCAGTGAAAATGATCATTTACTTTGTGGCTGGCACCAGAGATACAGAGATACCCTTTAATAACCCTGGGTATCTCTAAGTCACTGGATGGAGAAATTCCAGTCCAGTAACCTTCTCTGCAATTCTTAAAGCACTTCCTATCCTTCTGACATACCACCTGAAGTACACACTTTAACTCAGAGATTCTCAAGAGACCTGGAACAAGTTTACCATCCAGTCTAAGGAAGGACATCAAGGCCATACACTCCCAACCCTGAGACCACGGGCTCCCCTATGTTGGACCACTATGCTCTAGTCTATGAGTGGCTATTATATGGGCCCCAAACACCTTTCCACCATGTGCTATAGGACCTAGAAGAGAGAACATGGTTTGGGACAAGGCCATCCAGAGCATGGCAAAAGCAACCCAGAGTTGATACCAGTCCTGTTCTCACACAGGATACAGCAGATGTGCTTACTTACACACAGCTGTGGACACACCTGGATACCAACCTCCACTTCCAGGACTTACAGCCTCCGCATAGTCAGCCTTCCTGGACTGGATCCTGACACCCAAGATCAGCTTTGCTCTTGGCTCTATGGGACCATCTTTTTTCTCACCAGATTTTTTATCAGGACTGTCCTGTCTCTCTAATGTCAGCACAAGGCACACGTATATCCTAGTATGCATGAGGGCTGACAACACTGGCTGCCTGCTCCTCAGTACAGCTCTCAAACAGGTCCCTCTTATCCCAGAAGTCTTTGTGAAGATGAAAATGTCCTAAAATAAGGGCAAAAGGAGAGGTGGCCTGGCAAGTCTTTGTGGCATCTCATGTGGATTGCTTCCCATCATGCAGCAGTGGGAAGGACCATGTGGTGATGGTTCTGCCCACTCACCCTTTCCCTGACCCTTCCTGCTTACCTAATCGGCTCAGTGGGGTCCAGGCGCCGAGCTTTCTGTTCTAAGGAGAGCTGCTCCCATTGGAAGTGGAGGCTCCAGTCAAATCCTAAAACACAGAGCTGACCCAGTTGACTTGATCTTTCAGAAGAACCTACAGAGCTTGCTTATTGTAACTTTTCCAGCTCATGAACTCAGGGGGAAGCTGGTTCCAGGGATAACCAGTCTCATCTAGGCTGATCAGCAACTTGTCTGCCAATGTCTCCTGTCTTTACCTTCTATTGCTTCTCTAAACTTCTAGGCTTGGTGGGGTTAGGAAAGAAAGGGCAAAAGATAAAGGTCCAGGGGTAGGGTCCAAGGGTGGCAAGATGGACAGTTATGAAATGTGACTTTTGGTCCTGAGTCTTGGGAATTGAAAACAGGAGGTTTGTGAGAGGCCTCTAGACTATGTGAATTACCTGAAAGTTGGTGTTGTGGTATAGGCAGCACTGGGTCCTGAGTAGAAAACAGGGTGCCCATCCCTGAGGCAGCAGGAAAATTCAGGCCCCCTCATGGCTGGGGGAGTCCTTGTTTATATCACATACTCAGGCCTTTGGGGTCTGGGGCCCTGGGGCTGAGAGTATCCTGTCCAAGCTCCCAGACCTCCCATTCACAGTCCCAGCAGTAAGGACCAAGATGGAGTTAATTATATTACAGGATGCAGGGTTGGACATTGCAGACACTCCACTGAAAGACCTCCCTTACTCTCCCACCCCCAACCTTTAAAGCAGTAACTAGGAGGAAATGAAAGTCATTATTGATGGAAAACATCATCTCTACTTACCCCCTCTGAGCTCTGAAGCAGACTCGATGTAGTTGAAGGTGTCCAGGTTAATAATATCAATCACAGGGCACACCACCCGTGTATAGTCCTGTAAAACAATAGTCTCTATGCTTAACTTGCAATAAGAATCCTGGCCAGAAATCAGAGAGCTTGGTGGGCCTAGCCCTGGTAGTGTCAGAGATGAGTTTTATGGCCTTGATCAAGCACTTTCATCTCTGGATCACACATACATACATACATACATACATTTATTTATCTTTTATTATTGTTCATACACTCAATTGCTATGTATCATTTAGATTGTAAAGAGACTTTACCAAGCATGATGTACAACTCAGTCCAGCCCAGTTAGGATACTATACACATCCTCATCAACAGATAATATCTGTGTCCCACAAGTGTCTTACCTCTATTTTTTCCCAAATTTCTTCTCCTACGTTCTTCCCCTTCCATGCTCTCTTTCCACTTTGTCTCTAGTGTCCACTACAATTTGTAATACTTTTATGTTCTCCAGGCTTTCAGTCTCTACCATAGAATGTGGACAGTTGGTATATATTAAGTGGAGACATACAATGTCTCTCTTTCATAGCCTGATTTGATTCACTTAGCAACAAATCTTCCACATTTGTCCACTTTCTATCAAATTCCAGGGCTTTTTTTTTTTATTCGGGGGATTATTGCCTGTGCTTTTGGGGTCTTGCTTAAGAATTCTTTGTCTACCCCAATGACTCCCAGAGTTTCCTAGTGTTTTCCACCAGTAGTTTTATAGTTTGTGGTCTGAAGTTTAGATCTTTGATCCACTTTGGGTAAATTTTTGTTACTTGGTGACAGATAGGGGTTCAGATTCATCCTTCTGCAGGTGGATATCTAGTTTTTCCAGCACACTTTATTGTTTTTAAGAGAGATTTTTGCTATAGCGTGCATGTGCTCACCAGAGAGACAGATAGCAATAAATCACCTCCTCCCCACCAGGGTGAATGGCCATGCTGCAATCCCTTTTCCTCCAGTCTCCTCTTGGGATTTTGGGCATACATGCACATGCACTCAGCTTGAGTTTAAAGCAACTGGGTCCAGGACTCAAACTACCTGGGAATCCAGCGATGTAACCATTACGCCATCTGCTGGTCCCTCTGGATCTTACTTTTGTCATTTATTAGTTGGGACACTTGACAACATAACTTCTCAAGTTCTGATATTTAAGATGCTAAGAGACTTTCCTCTCTTTCTGAGCCCCTTGGCTGTCTAAGAAGAGTAACAAGGTAGGTGCTGGCTGTAGAGACATGGCAAGGCTGCACACAGAGAAAGGAGAAACTTGGAATAAGGAGGCTCTAAATGTCCTTCACCGACAATGGGACTCTGGGAGGCACAGGATAAAGTCTGCCAGGAAGGTGACCTACGCCACCAGTTCCCAGAAGTAAAGCTACACACTTAGTGTGAAACTTTCAGAACTTCCAGATACTTTCATTCTTGATCTGTGGTTCATGGAAGAGTAGATAGAATGGGATCTTGGGAGAATTGTAATTTCATTTATCCCTTGGAGATGGATATTCAAAATCCATACCACTAGCCTCAACTTCCTTCCTAGGTTCTAGTCTCAGACCCAGTATGCAATTGGCTACTTCCATAGGATTCCACTTAGCCTTTCAAATGGTGACTTACCCATCTCCCCAGACACATTCCTTTCCCAAAGTTTCCTATTTCTGTCGACAGAATTATCACAAATGCCCCCACCTCTAAGAAAGCTTCCCCTTGCCCATCAGTTGAATCAAGTCCTGCTGCTTCTGACTCTAAAACCACCCTTTTAAATTTATCGTGCCTCTCCTTCACCCCTTCATGGCTGGAGTACTATAGCAGACTCCTAAACCTAATAGCACCCCAACTCATCCTATTCTCTTTGCATTTTTCAGCTGCCAAAATTGTCTTTCTGATATGCAATCCTGCCTCTGCCACTCAACTGCTAAAAGCATGAATGGCCTCTAAGATAAGGTCCAAATTCTTTAGCATGGCAACTAAGACCATCAAACACAAGCCCATATCTGGCTTTCCAGCCTTATCACCTGCTACTTCCTCCAGGCTATTCTATCTGCAGGCATCAAAATCATCCAGGGAACATTTTCAAAATATATAAGCCACACATTCTCAGGCTGGTGGGAGGAGAGTCACCAAGGAATTGTGTGTGTGTGTGTGTGTGTGTGTGTGTGTGTGTGTGTGTGTGTGTGTATACTTTTTTCCCCACATTTCCCAATTCTAAGAACCCCTTTATTACCAAGCAGTAAAAGACTGCTCTCCACCTTCCTCCCCATCCGCTGGTATTGTACATGAGCTGTGACAATGAAGACTCTTAGTTATAGCAGTCAGAGGTCTCTGGGAATCAGGCAGGCTCACTTTTCCAAATTCTCTGTACCAATCTCCCTTTGGCCAGTGCAGGTAGGAACCTCTGTTTCTCCTTGAAGCCATTTAATTTCCTGGTTCAATCTTCCTCCCAAATGAGGTTGTCTTCTTATTTTAAGCTCCAGATTCACTGAATGCCTGATTTTAAGTTCACAGACTTAATTTGGCCCTCAGCCTCCCACATGTGACTCATTCTGACAGTAACAAGGTGCCTCTGAAAACCAATTGGCACACATGGAAAGAAATGCTCATTTTCGATGCATTGCTTCTACCTCTGGGATGTCACAGGTGCTGCATTCACAGTCGGCACTGCACCTGCCCAGCTGCCACAGCTCCTCTGGGGCTCTTCCTGGGCCACTGTCATTGTGAGTCTGTATGTAGATACACATTGCATGCACACACACCACCATTCACATAAATCACATAAATATCTACACACACACAAACACACACACGCACACACAAAGATACTCTTGTCACTTGAATTTTGGAATATCCTCAAAAGTTCAGAGACACATTCTTCTGACAATCTTCATTTTGCCTTTGCTTGCTGAGTTCTAGGGCCACTGAAGCTGAATTAATTTCTTTTGTACCATTGTGCAGTAATATATAAACCTTGTCTAAAGATAGGTTGGGCCTTCTCCCAGCTGCTGGGAGGTAACCTCTGTGTCCTTGGAAAGTCCTACCCATCTGAATGTCCTTGTTCACCTAGAATTCTTGGGTTACACCAAATAGTCTACGCTAACAATGTGATTTATGATGAAGCCACCAGGCCATGTAGTACCAACTCTGCTTGACGTCTGGAGGGGCATAGAGACAATAAGGATGGTCAGCCAAATTGATGTGACCAACCTTCAGTAAAAATCTTGAAAAGGCTTAGGTAAGTTTCCTGACCTGGCAATACCCCAAGCATGTTGCTACACAGGTTGGGAGGAGTGAGAGCTGTCCAGACAACCCCACTGAGAAATGACAATGGGAAGCCTGTGCTTGAACCTCTCCCTAGGCACCTTTTCCCGTTGCTGATTTTAATCTATAACCTTTACTGTAATATGAGGGGCTCTTCATAAAGTTCATGGAAGGCCTATCTGCATGGTGCAGTGGTAATGGCTGCCCAAAAGGATCTGGATTCCATATGGCAACTGCGATTTGAATCCCTGATGTGGTCGACCTGAAACATGCCATGCATGCACAAATGCCCAGGATAAGATAGGCTGGAGGCCTGGAGGAAGGGGAGTGCAGCAAGACTAGACTCTGTTGAGGGTGCTCCTCTTTCTCTCTCTTCCTTTCAGGTGCATATGCATGTGGTCTATCATGAATAAAGAAAATAATTCCTAGAAGAATGTACACTATGGATAAAGTATGCATAGATTTCAATTTTTTTTCATAAAAACAAGCCCGTAGTTTAATTCAATTTTTTACTTTTTGGAGTGTTCTTGTAAATAATAACCTTGATTGTAACAGTTTTGTTGAGTTCTGAGTCCTTATAAAAAATTACTGAATATGAAGGGGATCTTGGGGACTCCCAAACAGCAACCTTTTTTAGGCTTTTGTCCTTGTGCTCACCAGAGCGAGACACAGTGAGAGGAAAGGTGAGATATCACTCCCCAGAAGGGATGATCACACTGTAATTCCTCTTCCTCCATTCTCCTCCTGGGATTTAGGGCATGCACGGATATGTGCCCAGCATCATTTTCTTTTCTTTTTTTCCCCTTTCACTAGCACTGTACTCAAATATACTTGGCACAGATCTCACTTTAGAACTATCAAATTGTATTGTAATTATTCATGCAAATGTCTGTTTTTACACCAAACTGTATAGGAATTTGCCTGCTGTGATTTTTTTTTTTTTTGAGAGGTTTTTGCTATAGGGCACGTGCGCTCGCCAGACAGACAGAGAGAGACATAGAGACAGAAAGCGAGAAATCACCCCCAGGGGGGATGGTCACGCCGCAATCCCTTCTCCTCCATTCTCCTCTCGGGATCTTGGGCACGCACGCACACGCGCCCTCGTGAGTTCTAAGCCACCGGGTCCGGGATGCGAACCGCGGTCGACTACGTGGGAATCCAGCGACATAGCCATTACACTAACTGCTGGTTCCCCCTGCTGTGATTTTCAAGCCACTAGGTCTAGGACTAGAATCATGGTTGGCCACACAGTACCTTAACCACCACACCACCTGTTGATCCCTCAGGTTTCTTTTTTTTTTAAAGTTAAAAAGAAATCTTTCCTCAATATTAGAAAACCATGATAGTTGGCAACTTAAAATTCATGCCAAGTGCAAGTGCATGGGTGTGTGCCCAAAATCTCAAGAGGAGAAAGAATTATAGCATGATCATCTCCCCTGGGGGCTAATTTCTCACTTTCCATCTCTCTGTCTCTGTCCTCTAGTGAATGCACACACCCTATGGCAAAACCTTCAAAAAGAAAAAAGGAAAAAAAAAAAGCTGATTGCTTTCCCCAGCTACAGGTTTTCCCAGAAGCCATTCTCGGGCTCTGCCTCCAGTGTGGTGACATGTTCTTCTCTGGTGTACTCCTCCATAAGTCTGAGGACTTCCGTCCTTCAAGCATTCTGTCACAACACAGTTGTGATGCCTGGCTGGTTGAGAGTAACGGATACCGGATCGGCAGTGAGGGATGTTTGGGACTAAGTGTTGCGGGAGCAATGATCTTGAAAAGAGGCTGTAGGAGGCTTTACA